ATATATACTACAGTCAACCCTCATTATAAAATATATTTAGTTAGGTTATACTTTGTTATAACAAGGTTCAACTGTGTTACTGTCAGGTTGACATACCAATATACCCGAAACCTTTATATTTTATTCTGTCAACCTGCATCACTGCTCCAAATAAAAATGGCTCTGCCAATAAAATGATAGTAATGGTAAGTTTAAAAATTAAAATAATAGAGCATTAAAAATTAAATTAAGAAATCAAGAAACTTTTACTCTGTAAACCCATACCTATCTTTCCTATTCCTTGATTTCTTTGAAAAATAATGTTTAAATTTGATAATGTACTGGTTTCAAATTTAAATAAAATATCCTTTCTATGCATATACAAGATCCTTTTCTGGAATCCCTCCCTTTTAGGAGGGGGCAATTTTTCCATGACATATGAGAAGCTTCAACAGGCTTTTTGAAAAAATAAAAATCAAAAATACCCAAATACAAATTTAAAAATTCAGTGCCCTCCGCCTCCACTGAACTTTTCATTGCATCATACCCTCGGGGCTCGGAAGGTCAGATTAACTTTTGTTGGAGGAAGGATATTATAGAATTTTTAATATAGTTATCCAGTTTATACATAACTATCCATACTGTATACCACCAGGAACAATCCCTTTTTATTTTAACATGTTGCTTATTCGCGAAGATTTTTAAAAGTAAAAGCTTTGAATAAAAAAGGAATTTGTGAAATGAAGCTTTTTTAAAAGCTAAAATATCACTGGAAAAAAATAAAGAAAAAAAGAATTTATGATATGAAGCTTTTAAAAGCTAAAAAGAATTTGTAATACATATATATACAGTGCAGATCAATAAATGACGCGTATTTGTAACATTTCTATAGTTGGCTCAGTCTAAAGACCTCCTAAGTTTTGCATAAATTTAAAAGTATAGAAGTCACTTTCTGTCCTATCTTTTAAAAAAATAACGTTATTAGTTGATAGAATAGGTCTTTAGTTTTAATGTAATAATGAGATATTCTCAAAAAAATCATTTGTTGTAGAGTTCTATTCTTTTTTAGAACATGTACTTTACTATGTTCACGAGAAATTTGGCCGCTAGGATCATTACTCAATTTAGACCAAACTACAAAAAACATTTCTAAATTTAGACTAATACATGACCATCATATCTAAATTTGGCAGTACGAAATAAAATTTTAAACCCAAATCACGTGAAGTCCTATTTTCGAAAATTTTTATTGCATTTTTGAACAAATTACAAAATTGTTATTTTTGAAATTTGGCCACGTGGCGCAGAAATAGGAGGTCTTTAGACCGAGCCAACCATATATTTTTTTGTCCAACCCGTTTTTGCATTATTTCAATCTTGATCATATTTTTTTTATGGCATAATGTCCAATTCTTTCTTAGCTGATTCTTTTTTATGTTCTCTACTAAAACGTGCGTGTTATTCAATTTTTATTTTTGGTAACTCATTTGCACCCAACTCACCTGTTTCTATCCTTTGTTTTAGATCTGTAAGCATTTCTTATCTACATTTTCTGACAAAAAAAATAGGCTCTTAGAAGTTGTTTTACTTGCTTAATCATGCATTTATTTCTACCATGCTTTCCAAAATTTCGCTTTTTTATGAAGAGCCCAACTCAGTTCAAATTAATTCATTTTAAAATTTTAAAATTTTGTTAATTTAGTATCTAGAAAATATTTATTACATTAATTTGTTTCCTATCTACATCAGGAAATTAATTTAGCGTAAACTTGCATAAATCTTATGATGCCGACGTAATATTGTGTAAATCTTACAGTGCCGACGTAAGTTTTACACTTTTTTATTATTAAACTTACAATTGACACATGTAAAATTTTTTTATATTTTCTGGATGTACAGTTCACTCTCAAAAAAATGTCATACACAATAATAATAATAATTTATATATGTACATATAAATTGGGTTTAAATTTTCAGTCCATTATTTGTTGTAGAGAGTGGACTATAGAGAACCTATTATAGACAATAATAACTTATATATGGACATTTTTTGTTTCATCAACATTACCAAAGTCTGTTCTTTTTAAAAAAAAAATTTTTTATTTATTATGTTAGTTTTTTTTTGATAACAGGTGGTAGACTGATCACTGCCAACCATTCTTTTAAAAATAAACTAGAGTAATGACAAGTGGCGGGCAATAACCACCACCACCATCCTTAAAACGCTTACCCATTTACTTCTACAGAGTCTTTTTCTTTTCTTCTTTTTTTATCAGCAACAGCCAACATCTTTTTTTTTTTAATAATAATAAAAGAAAGTTTGTTATTTGATCAATGCATACACATTAATTATTTATCCTATTGATTTTTTTTTTTGATAGGACAGACACAAATTGATTGATTGTTTTTTTTTTTTTGGAAAAATAATTTATTTTTTGACAGTCCAAAATGACAAAATGTGAGTTTTGCTATTTGGTTTGGTTTGGGCCTCCTAAAGACATCAGGAAATTAATTTAGCGTAAACTTGCATAAATCTTATGATGCCGACGTAATATTGTGTAAATCTTACAGTGCCGACGTAAGTTTTACACTTTTTTATTATTAAACTTACAATTGACACATGTAAAATTTTTTTATATTTTCTGGATGTACAGTTCACTCTCAAAAAAATGTCATACACAATAATAATAATAATTTATATATGTACATATA